AGCAATCAGCTGAAGTATTTATTTACTTGTTGTTTGTATTAGAGATTTGTTTACCTTGACAACTATGTAACAATTTAAGTTTATTAAAGCCTTATTTTCTAAAAAGGTTCAGTTATTCACAACAAATTTAATAAACTTAAATTTATTAAGATAATTAAATAATCAAAATCAAAATGGAAAAACTTTTAAAACCAGACAGGTTTGATATTAATCCTAAAAATCCTTCTGCAAGTAGAGCATTCAAACACTGGTTCAGGACACTTGAAAATTTCATATCTGACCCAGCAGTTACTGAAGAGAGGAAACTTAAGTTAGAACGTGTTGATTAATTTTCTTTCTTACAATGTCTACGAGTATATTTCTGAATGTTCCACGTTTAAGTCAGCAGTTGAAATTTTGCAAACTATTTATAATCCTAAGAAGAATGAAATTTATGCTCGACACATGCTAGCAAACCGCAAGCAGAAGAAAGAAGAAAACATAGACAAGTATCTACAAGAACTTAAACTTCTAAGTAAGGATTGCAATTTTCGTGCAATAGATGGAAATACTTATCGAGATGAAGCCGTTAGAGATGCCTTTATAAGTGGAATTATGAACCCCCATATTCGACAAAGACTATTAGAAAAACCGTCCTTGACATTAAAAGAAGCTGAGGACATTTCACGTTCACTTGAGTCTGCACAGAAGAGCTGTGAAGCATATGGATCTTCAAACCAAATTGAAGTCACATATTGCAACACTTCATCAACACTACCAGATCAACTGGATGAAAATATAGATCCTGAAGAGTCTCCTACTTCAGCTTCTGTAGCAAAAAACTTTAAACAGAAGTGTTTCTACTGCGGTGGCCGGCGTCATTTTACTCGAAACGACTGTCCTGCCAAAGGTGCTACTTGCTCTGGTTGTAAGAAAAGGGGACATTTTGTGAAGGTATGCAGGTTGATGAAAACTCAAGGTAAGACCTTTAATGCCTCTTCTTTGGTAGTAACCACGCTTTCATGTGCAGCTGCCTCCAATGGACTGTCAAAAGCAATTGTGCGGGGTTATGCAAATAAAATACCTGTTGAAGTTTTGGTTGATACTGGAGGTACCGATAGTTTTATAAACCGAGCTGTGGTAATTGAAAATGGTTTTCATGTAATTCCAGAACGGAAACAGGTATCTATGGCTTCCACAAACCTAAAGTCACCCATCAAAGGTTATGTTAATGTGAACTTAGTTCTCTGTCCATAACTATGAGAGAGTACAACTGTTTGTTATTGACAATCTGTGCACTGACATATTGATTGGTCATGATATAATGAAACTGCATTCTTCAGTAAACCTAGATTTTGGGGGAGATAAGTTACCTCTGTCCATTTGTAATGTTGCCTGTGCTTCTGTGGAACCACCATGCCTTTTTCATAATCTATCACCTGACTGCAAGCCCATTGCAACTAAGTCTCGTAGGTATTCTAATGATGATGAAAAGTTCATCAACTCTGAAGTGCAAAAACTCCTTCAAAGTGGTATAATTGAAGAAAGTTCATCTCCCTGGCGTGCACAAGTGCTTGTTACCAAAAGCTCATCTCATAAAAAGCGATTAGTAATAGATTATAGTCAAACTATAAATAAGTTTACCCTATTAGATGCCTACCCCTTGCCTAATATTGAAAACATAGCTAGTAAAATAGCAGAAAATAAAGTATTCAGTACTATAGATTTAAAGGAGGCTTACCATCAAATACCAATATCGGAACATGAAAAATGCTTCACAGCATTTGAGGCAGCAGGAAAACTTTATCAGTTCTGTAGGGTTCCATTTGGTGTGACAAATGGTGTGTCTGCTTTTCAGCGCACGATTGATAAGATTATTTCCACTGAAGAACTAGAAGGGGTGTGGGCTTTCATTGATGACATAACCGTAGCCGGAAAAACTCAGTCAGAACATGATGAAAGGCTGAATAAATTCTTAAAAGTAGCTAAGAAATATAATATTACTCTAAACAATGAGAAGAGCAAATTTTCTCAAGACATAATATCAATCCTAGGATATTAAATTCGCTACCAGTCTATGCAAGCAGATCCAGAGCGTCTGAAACCCTTGTTAGATTTGCCATTGCCAGTTAATGCATCTCAATTAAAACGTGCATTAGGAATATTTTCTCACTACTCAAAGTGGGTTCCCAAGTTCTCAAACAAGATTCGGCCTTTGATTGATTGCAAATCTTTTCCTATATTGCCCTCATCTTTGCCAGCTTTGGCTTTTCAGGAAATTAAACAAGACATACATAGGAAAATCAATACTTACTGTGATTGATGATCTTTCTCCATTAGTTGTGGAAACAGATGCATCTGACTTTGCTATCGCTGCCACCTTAAGTCAAAAGGGTAGACCTGTCGCTTTCTTTTCAAAAACATTGACCGATTGTGAAAAACGTCATTCCTCTATTAAGAAGGAAGCCCTAGCCATAGTCGAATCTCTAAAGAAGTGGAGGCATTTCCTCATTGGGCGACATTTTCTATTAATCACCGATCAACAGGCTTTGTCGTTTGTGTTCAACAGTCGGCATACTAGTAAAATAAAGAATGAGAAAATCACTAGATGGCGTCTTGAGTTGTCACCTTATTCTTTTGACATACAGTACAGACCAGGCAAAGAAAACGTCACCGCAGATGCATTTTCACGTGTTTGTGGAGCTGTCACAAACATAAATTGTGATGACAAGCTTTTTGCACTTCATCAGTCACTCTGCCACCCTGGTATCACTAGGATGTACCCCTGGGTAAAAAGTAAAAACCTCCCTTACTCAGTTGAGGATGTTAAAACAATGACAAACAAATGCCCAATGTGTGCAGAGATTAAACCTCGTTTCTACAAAACTACAAATGCTCAACTTATCAAGGCCACAAAACCTTTTGAGCGACTAAATGTAGATTTTAAGGGTCATTTGCCATCTTGCACACGTAATCGATATCTATTGACTATAATCGATGAATATTCACGCTTCCCTTTCGCATATCCCTGCAGAGATATGTCCTCAAGCACAGTAGTTCGCTGTTTAGAAAATCTATTTTCAATATTTGGAATGCCAAACTACATTCATTCAGACAGAGGGACATCTTTTCTTGCAAAAGAACTCAGAGACTACCTTCATGAAAGAGGAATAGCCACCAGTCAAACGACTCCATATGATCCGGCAGGGAATGGCCAAGTTGAAAAGTTCAATGGAACATTGTGGAAAGCAATCTTGTTAGCTCTGAAGTCCAGGTCACTAAAGGTAGAACAATGGGAAGTTGTACTCAATGATGCATTGCACTCCATAAGATCTCTTTTGTGCACTTCGACTAACAGTACGCCACATGAAAGGTTTATCATTCATCCTCGGCGATCCCTCAATGGCACCTCACTGCCAGCTTGGCTCATGAAACCAGGACCGATATTCTTAAAAAGAAATGTTCGGCCATCAAAATTTGATCCTTTAGTTGAGGAAGTAGAGCTGATGGATGCTAACCCTCATTATGCCTTGGTTAAACACAATGATGGAAGAAAGTCAACTGTATCCCTCAAGCACCTTTCTCCAAGGGGGAATGTAAGTCTACTAACTAGAAGACCAAGTCCTTCCAACGCTAAAAGAAAATCCTCAACTGGTGACAGATGAGGATTTTCGTCACGTCACAACCACATGTCATTCCAGAGCCGAGCATTAATCCAGATCCAAATGTCAATCCAGAACAGAATGTCACTCCATTTGATATCCAAGACCATGAGTATCAACCAAATGATGATTATCAACCGAACTTCATTGCATTCCTGAATCCTGAACAAGACTCTGAAGAAAACCAAGCTCTAGAAAGGCCGAAAAGATCAAGAAAACAACCAAGTTACCTCGCTGATTACATTGTTTAATTTTTGAGGGGGAGAATGTTATGAATTACTGTTTTTAGTAATCAGCTGAAGTATTTATTTACTTGTTGTCAACGTATTAGAGATTTGTTTACCTTGACAACTATGTAACAATAATTTGAGTTTATTAAACCTTATTTTCGAAAAAGGTTAAGTTATTCACAACAAGACCGGTACACACATTTTGGACGAGTTACGTACGATAGTTTACGCCATACTAATAAATCTGTACAAATCCTTATACATATTTCCACCAACTCAAGGACTAAAAATCACTAGTCATAACCTATATATCAGCCTATATAACAGTATATCAGCCCGGTACGCTAACCATTAGACCACCGAGGCCGCCGGCTACCGACCGTTTTGTTACCGTAATGGCGTTCCCTCAGCTAATAAGAAGCCCACAGCGCTGTCATCGTAGCCTCTTCTATACCTCCCCTGAGTAAATACCGGAAGTTCGTCAAAATAATGTAGTGTGGCGTAATATCCTGTTTTGGATTGGATTGTAATGAACGAGCCGGTGGGGCACACGGGAGATTTCTCAGGTGCCGTTTCCCCGTTTGACGTCTACTGCTGCGTCTGAAGAAACAGAAAATTTTATAATTTTCTATTATTAAATTGAACTGTCATAACCTAACCAAACTAACCAAACGTGCTGATAATGGAAAAATCGAATAAAGGTTTACTAATCTAAAAAATAGTTTTGTTCATAAAATAAAATTATAAATATCTAAAATTCAATTTTATAATTTTTAATTATAAAATTAAACTGTCATAACCTAACCAAACCAACCAAACTTGCTGTTAAGAAAAAAATGTTGATAAAAAGTTAATGCCGCCGGCGAGATTCGAACCTGGTACCTTTGGATTACCAGTCCGCAACGCTATCCACTATATAGACCACCGAAGAGTCATATCGTATCGTTGCGGTATTGGTGTTCCCTCAAAGTGACATCAGCAGTTAGTGACGTCAAATGGCACCTGAGAAATCTTCCGTGTGCCGTTTCGATGAACGAGCTGCCGGTGAACTGAACTTGTTCGAAACCAAAACACCTTTTTTTATTTTAAGTTTAAGGTTATGTTTGCTTGTTGACTGAGTATTTATTTGACTGCACCGCACACAGCACATGCCTAACCTAAATCTCATGTTGTGAGTTGTGACAACAACTAATTTATTTCTTACTAGCTCAACGAGACGTAACATAGGTATAGAAAACAATACAAATACAAGTAAGTAAAGACATCAATTGAAAGCTCGGCATATTGTAGGCCTAGGCCTAAGTTACCTTTTGTCGAGATTGGCTTCAATTAATTGCTAACCTTTAAGTTAACTTACTTGTTATCTAAGTGCCAGGGACACTTTGTTGTTAGTTGTTGGGTTCTCCTTTCTTATTAGCCTATTCCTATTGCAAATTACCTACACTTACCGTACATCAATTCTTTCATAGAGTTTTGGTAAGATCACAAAACGCTAAAATGTTATTTAAACTTACTTGGCAAGCTTTCAAAATATACCTAGATCTTCTGATGGCAAGATCAAGTCTTAGTAACCTCAAATTGGACAACACATATGTTAGGAGAACACGGTTTTTATCAGTTTTATTAGAATAGGCGTAGATAACTTATATCAAACTGATTAAGACGATTATTTTAAAACCCTAAGTAGGCCTAGACCTATAAGTTATAGCCCTAGCTTGAAAACTATTTGTAGGCCCTAAGCTAAAGATTCAGAATGTATTATTTTCAACCACTTTTGCTGGGCTAGGTTAAGTGCCTTCTATGATAGTAATTATTGCAATTTTAATCTTTTAGATAAAAATCGTCTACCAGTTTTGAAATAACTGAACATTATGAAAGTAAGCACAGAGCCTGTATCAGCGTTTGCAATATATTCAGAAAAGCTAAAGCAAAAGAAGAAGAAGTCTAAACCTCTGTTATCAAATGGTGTAAATAAGGTGACCAAAGCCAAAGTAGGTCTATCAAATGGAGTAGCTAAAGTTAAAAAATCTCAAGTTTCGACCTTACTTAAGAAACAAAAAAATAGCAATGATAACGAGTCATGGCAAATGAAAGAAATAGGTTATATACTTAAAACTTTGGCTGAAAGATCAACAGAAACTAGTAGTCCTAGAGCTGCTGCTTTGTTGGATAGTATTAATGAAGCAAATGAAAAATTGGAACATGACGACAACAATTATCTTGAAGACACATTACATAATGTTATTATGATCGAGAACCTTAAAGATACGGTCAAAAACTTGAAAAGGAAGAAAACTAATAAGTTTACGCCAGGAAAGTCAGCTGACAGTTGCAGTACTAAAGGTCCGGGAACTTCCAAAGATACAGATTCACTAGAGGACTTAAAACCCCTTGTATTAAAAACCACCACTTCCCCAACTAATAAGGAAGAATCAAGTGCAAGCCGTTCTAAGAGTTTGAAAAAGCTAAAAACAGCAACAAAAGAACAAGGTCATTCTACTATGACGCTAGATTCAAAATCACAGAATTTAGACCCAAAGAAAAAGCAGCCAAAAGTACCCAAAGAGACAAAACTGAATAAGAAAAATATTAAAAAGGTTGGAATGAAATCAGATAATAATTCAAAAGGTAAATCTCAGAAACATTTGGAAAATAGTGACACAACTGCAAGACTACTTTTCGAGTGGCTTACTGCACCTGTGCTGGAGAAAGATTTCATGCGGTATGTAATATTCTACTTTAATTTATTGTAATAGGCTATACTTAGAGATCTTTACCACAGTTCTAATAGCCTAGGCTAAATCATAATCTTAAACAAGTTTATTTTTTTATTTTAAGTAGGCCTACCTATGTCTTGTGCTGGTTAAATATGTTTAAGTCCCTATATAGAGTTCTTTAAAGGACACATTTTAAACCTACTTTACTTAGTACAATAATAGCATGACATATTCTGTGCTGATCAGACCAACTTAACAAGACCACCGTGCACGCCGATTAAGTTTGGATGCATTGCACATTAACTTACTATTAATAGGTACTTTGGGTCACTGTAAGCTTAGCCATTGGCAAGGGTTATTAGTCATTACTGTGAGGACCACCAGTTAACACTGTCTTTTTCACGTTTGTACTGGCATGAGTTTAGTATATGTTTACTTCAGGAAACGCCATAGGAGACCACAGGCACTTTATTATTCATCATTGAACGTGTTAAACAGTGAGTGCTGAATTTCCCAAAATAGGGATTACCTAACCATAGGGTAGACCTTAATTTAGCTTTGTTACAAATTTACTTTTGGCTTGCTTAATTGCTTCTGTTATGTTTTCAGTGACTATTGGGAGAAAAAACCACTTCTTATACAAAGAGAGGGGCACAGGCACTACTTTTCTGAGTTGTTGAGTACTGAAATAATAGATACGATGTTGAGAGAGAACAATGTATGTTTCACCAAACACTTGGACGTTACTTCATACACCGATGGTGTACGAGAGACCCATAACCTAACAGGTAAAAGTAAAAGTACACAGAGTGAAATAACTGTAAAGAGGAGTCGTTTAAAGAAAATAGCTTTACAAAGAAATCCTTTTTAGTACGAACAAACCATTGAAGGTAAAATTTCAATCTTGATATAAGTTAATTTTTAATTGGCCAATGATACACTATTTTTATAAACATGAACTTTAACCACAGATTTTCTTGATACTTAGTTGCAATGTAATCATTTTAAGTTTTTACTGATGTTTAATACTGGAATGTATGTTTCAGGCAGAGCACAGGCAAATGTCGTTTGGGACTTTTACTCTAATGGATGCAGTGTCAGGCTTTTAAACCCACAAATTTTTCTGCCAAAAATCCACACCTTGAACGCAACACTTCAGGAGTATTTTGGCTGCTTTGTTGGTGCTAACGTGTATCTGACCCCACCTAACTCTCAGGGGTTCGCTCCCCACTATGACGACATCGAAGCTTTCGTCCTGCAGATAGAGGGAAAGAAGCGTTGGAAAATTTACACTCCCAGGTTTGTTGACGGCGTTAATTTTACTATATTGTGCACTAGCTCTAAGTTAGGTTAAGATTTGAACATCTATTGATAAAAGATATTATGGTAGGCCTATAGGTTACAATAAAATAATTGTAACCTAAGCCTAGTTAATTTTCTTGATCAAATTTCTACTTCTGATTTTTATCTCAGCAGAACAGGTTTTGGTATATTTCACGAGGTTAGATTAAATGCTCATAAATTAAATATATTTTTAAAATATTGAAGAAGTACTACTGCATGGTTTTAGTTATAAATTGTTTAAATCATAGAGTTTTTGATCCTACATTATGATCAATATTATGTTACAACAGTATGTAGGCCTATCAATATTATGTACACATAAAATTTTTTTTAGGTACCGTACATCTATTTTAAATTGACAAATCAAAGTCAATTAGCAGCATTCAAAATTCTCTTTGGCTTAAAACAAAGTTTTTCTAAAATATCTTTAAGTTAACATTAAAATAGACCTAAGGGCTTAGCTCATCAGTGAATTTTAATCTAATCTATTTATCTGATCTCTTAGTCTGTAAAATATTTCTGAATGATTGGATACGTTTAGGAGATAGTTGTTTAGTTATTAGGGAATTTATAAAAGACTTACGGTACCTGGATTGTTACAGCAGATATGGTTGTACAAAGTAGGGCAGTTGAAGTGATAAATGCCATTATCTAAAAAATATGTACAATAATAACTCATAAAATTATACAGAACATACACACTCTGACAGTTATGGCTGAGATAGAGTTTTGATTCTGTCTTATCTCTTCTGATATAACTCCAATCTCAATACTATGAATAGTTGAGATTTTTGCTCTTTGTATTGCAACAATGTCTTGTGTTCAAAATTGTAGAGGTTTGATGAATTGACGAAGGATGTTTTACCAAATTTAGGCTAGGCTACCTTATGAATATTGTTGCTGAAGGTAGAATGCCTATAAAGAATGCTTAGTAAGACTTTTAATATTTTTTTCACTAATATTTCACTTTACCATTTACCTTACTATAAAAAATGTTAAAACTTGTCCACTGCAGCCACTGAATCAAAATTAGATGGTTCAGGAAAAAATATTGTTGGTTTAGGCCTACTATGTTTTTAAAAATTTTATAGAACAAGATATTATGCAACACTTATACTCATCCATATTCTACCACCTCCTGGTACTGAGTGTGTTGAATAACGCTTTTAGCAAATTTCCCTTCTGGGGAATAAGCTACCTATATTATAAGGCTCATCTCAGAATTTACAGAGATTGTGGAAGCAATGATGGTTTTTTCCAAGAATGTGGGATCTGTCTAGGATTTTTCCTATATAATTTTTCCGTCACGTTCAATATACAGGGAGGTTGACGATAAATGTTACCGTGATCGCGGAATAACAATGATGATATTTCTGTGATAAAAGGGGATAACTTGGACAATATTTTTCCCACCAGTGTTTAGCTCAGTGTTGATCTCACGATCATGGCAAATAGTCATGATATTACCGCAATAACATTGACACCGATAGACAATATCACGGCAGAATTAAGCGAGGAGTCGAACTAGCTGGAGCCAGACTGACTAGCCGAGGTCGGATTAACGAAGTTCTACTATATTACTTCCAGGAGAAAAACAATTTTTTAATATATTGAAGCATTTAAATCTTAATAGCCGTCGAGAAAATGATTACAAACTCATTTAAAATTGTCATGTTATTCTAATGGAGTCTAAGTAAACTGAAAATTTGTATTTTTCTTGTTTAAATATTAAATTTTGATAAAATTTTGCTAATGAATCTACTTCATACTAAGCGTATAACATTTAATTAACAAACACACTTTATTAACTTATTTGTTGTAGCAGCTAACATAAGCAGCCTACACTTTAAACCTATTACCTTAAATTCCTGGTACATCTACAAAACTTAAATGGGTTTGGAGTTTGAACTACGTTCTCTTAAATGCATTTAAAGTTACAGGATTTATTTAAAATGCCACTGGCGTAAAAAAAAAACAAAAGTAATTTTAAAAAGGGAATAAATTGACACGTTATAGAGAATAATATTGTAGAAACCAATTGAAATTTGCTTAGCTGCAGGTTTTCATCGGCAGGGGTATTGTTATAATCAATAGTTTGTTTACAAATAAGTGGGTGGGTAAGGGGATTCTACCGTGGATTTTAAAGAACTACTTAGCCCTATTCTCTGTTCGTATCCCTTTGAGAAGCAACTAGTGCAAATCATTTTCATCTCCAGGAATGAAGCTGAAGTACTGCCAAGATTCTCCAGTCCTAACTTTACCCAGGAGGAAGTTGGAGATTCATTCTTGGACGTGACTCTTGAGCCTGGGGATCTGCTGTACTTCCCCCGAGGATTCATCCACCAAGCCTCTACACCAGTGGAAGGACACCACTCGCTACACATAACACTGTCAGCTTACCAGAAGACTGCCTGGGTCGACTTACTGGAGAAGGTATGACAGAAATTTAAATTAGAAAGCAAATAGAATTTATATAAACACATATTTTAGATACAAGTTCACGACAATCGAAAGAACACTGGTCTTATCAAGATATTTTCAACAGTTTTTCAGTGTTTTAACCCTTTCAGTGCTAGGCCAATAATTCGTACTAGTGTACATGTTGCTCGAAATCGAGCAATTGCAAAGAAGTACCGGAGTTATTTATAAACAAATAACTTGTTTAAAAACTAATAACAGCCATAATTTCTGATTATTTTAAAAGAGTCTACTAAAAGATTGTTAACTAATGGAAATACTCACAATTTACATAACAGTCCTATTTCAGTTAAAAGGGTTAATTTTTAACTATCAAACTGCCCATGGATGGGAAGAGGTAAGCTTACAATTTAAGTCAACGTAAAAAGGCTGTCAGCTTTTATAATGTACCGTACCTAAGTTATTTAGCCAATTTGTAGACAATAAGGTGTAGGCTACTTTAAACTCTAGTACCTGGGGACCGAGCTTTGCTCGGGGAAAATCATTCCCCCACTCTGCGATACCAGCCTTTACTACTTCCTTCACCATTTCCTACGTCATGGACATGTTTCCATCCCTTGTCATAGCATTTCAGTATTTCAATTTCAGATACATAAATCTAACTGTTACAATTGGTTTCCAGTTCCCAGACTCCAAACTATGCTCGCCTTTACTACTTCCTTCACCTCTTCCTACGTCGCGGACCTGTTTCCCTTCCTTCTAATTGCATTTTAAGATTGCAGATACCTTAATCTAATCCTCATAAACAGTTCCCACACTCCCGACTGCTCACCTTTACTACTTCCTTCCCACTTTCTACGTCTCGGACCTGTTTTCCTCCCTTCCCATAGGATTTTAAAATTGTAGATACCTTAATCTAATCGTCATTAACAGTTCCCACACTCCGGACTGCTCAGCTTTACTACTTCCTTCACCACTTCCTACGTCGTGGACCTGTTTCCCTCCCTTTCCATAGAATTTTAGGATTGAAGATACCTTAATCTAATCGTCTTAAACAGTTCCCAGACTCCAGACCGATCACCTTTACTACTTCCTTTACCACTTCCTACGTCTCGGACCTGTTTTCCTCCCTTCCCATAGGATTTTAAGATTGTAAATACCTTAATCTAATCGTCATTAGCAGTTCCCACACTCCAGACTGCTCACCTTTACTACTTCCATCACCACTTCCTACGTCGTGGACCTGTTTTCCTCCCTTCCCATAGCATTTTAGGATTGTAGATACCTTAATCTAATCGTCCTAAACAGTTCCCACACTCCGGACCGCTCACCTTTACTACTTCCTTCACCACTTCCTACGTCGTGGACCTGTTTCGCTCCCATCCCATAGCATTTTAGGATTGCAGATACCTTAATCTACTCGTCATAAACAGTTACCACACTCCGGACTACTCGCCTTTACTACTTCCTTCACCACTTCCTACGTCGTGGACCTGTTTCCCTCCCTTTCCATAGAATTTTAGGATTGTAGATACCTTAATCTAATCGTCTTAAACAGTTCCCAGACTCCAGACCGATCACCTTTACTACTTCCTTCACCACTTCCTACGTCTCGGACCTGTTTTCCTCCCTTCCCATAGGATTTTAAGATTGTAGATACCTTAATCTAATCGTCATTAGCAGTTCCCACACTCCAGACTGCTCACCTTTACTACTTCCATCACCACTTCCTACGTCGTGGACCTGTTTTCCTCCCTTCCCATAGCATTTTAGTAGGGATGGACGGGATTGAATTTTTAGTTCGGGACGGGACGGGACGGGATTTTTATTTCCTTCCCGATTTTCGGGACGGGACGGGATTTTTTTCTGTGCATAAAAAGAAAGTACTGTATTGCAGTTACCAAAAAAAGACATACGAAATCAATTTTTACCATTTGTGGCACTGATCTATAAAAACCAAAAAATGGGTAACAATTTACAGGTACCTATAGTAACTTGTGACTCGCGGGTCACGGGGTGATCGTCTGTATGACTCGCGGTCACGACGCGATCGTCGTCATGACTCGCGGTCACGACGCGATCGTCGTCATGACTCGCGGGTCACGGCGCGATCGTCTGTATGACTCGCGGTCACGACGCGATCGTCGTCATGACTCGCGGTCACGGCGCGATCGTCGGTAGGACTCCGCGGTCACGGCGCGATCGTCGGTATGACTCCGCGGTCACGAGGTTATCGTCGGTATGACTCGCGGTCACGGCATGATCGTCGGTATGACTCGCGAACACGGCTCGATCGTCAGCATGACTCCGCGGTCACGGCGCGATCGTCGGTATGACTCGCGGTCACAGCGCGATCGTCTGTATGACTCGCGGTCACGGCGCGATCGTCGGTATGACTCCGCGGTCACGGGGTTATCGTCGGTATGACTCGCGGTCACGGCGCGATCGTCGGTATGACTCCGCGGTCACGGCGCGATCGTCGTCATGACTCGCGGTCACGGCATGATCGTCGGTATGACTTGCGGTCACGGCGCGATCGTCGGTATGACTCGCGATCACGGGGTTATCGTCGGTATGACTCGCGGTCACGGCGCGATCGTCGGTAGGACTCCGCGGTCACGGGGTTATCGTCGGTATGACTCGCGGTCACGGCTCGATCGTCAGCATGACTCCGCGGTCACGGCGCGATCGTCGTCATGACTCGCGGTCACGGTATGATCGTCGGTATGACTTGCGGTCACGGCGCGATCGTCGGTATGACTCGCGATCACGGGGTTATCGTCGGTATGACTCGCGGTCACGGCGCGATCGTCGGTAGGACTCCGCGGTCACGGCGCGATCGTCGGTATGACTTCGTCTCCTGCGTTCGCGGACCTATCGCTCGCAATAACGGCGTTATCGGCACTCGCGAAGCGGAAAAATCGCCGACGATCGGACCAAATCCCGTCCCGAAAAATTCCCGAGTCAATTGTAATCCCGTCCCGATAATCGGGAATATTTTTTTCCCGAAAAATTCCCGAAATTTCGGGACCCGTCCATCCCTACATTTTAGGATTGTAGATACCTTAATCTAATCGTCCTAAACAGTTCCCACACTCCGGACCGCTCACCTTTACTACTTTCTTCACCACTTCCTACGTCGTGGACCTGTTTCGCTCCCATCCCATAGCATTTTAGGATTGCAGATACCTTAATCTACTCGTCATAAACAGTTACCACACTCCGGACTACTCGCCTTTACTACTTCCTTCACCACTTCCTACGTCACGGACCTCTGTTTCCCTCCCTTCCCATAGCATTTTAGGATTGCATATACCTTAATCTAATCGTCATAAACAGTTCCCACACTCCGGACCGCTCACCTTTACTACAGTATTTCCTTTACCACTTCCTACGTCACGGACCTGTTTCCTTACCTTCCCATAGCATATTAGGATTGTAGATACCTTAATCTAATCGCCATTAACAGTTCCCACACTCCGGACTGCTCACCTTTACTACTTCCTTCACCACTTCCTACGTCGTGGACCTGTTTTCCTCCCTTGACATAGCATTTTAGGATTGCAGATACATAAATTTAATCGTCATAAACGGTTTCCACACTCCGTACAGCACACCTTGACTACTTCCCTCACCACTTCCTACGTCGTGGACCTGTTTCCCTCCCTTCCCATATCATATCTGGATTGCAGTTACCTTAATCTAATCGTCAGAAACAGTTCCCATCGGTTCCCACACTCCACACTGCAAGCCTTTACTATAATCATAGATAAAAAAAGTCTTGCTACAATGTATCGAGTAATCTTCATTATATAATCTTTGCTCAATAATAACAACTGATGTTTTTCCTTTTTTACTGTATTTGTAATTTGCTAGTGTACTGTCGATAGACAACTAACGTAGGTGCCCGTGGGTACAGAACGTCACGTTATGTCTTAAAATGTAAACAAAATGACAATAATGGCGGATTGTTTTCTCATAAGGCCCATGTTAAATTTTCAAAAGTTTGTACTCATATTATGGCGAAAATAGATTTTTCCTGGCTATACCACTGGTCTAGAACTTATTTTTGACACAGAACTTAGTTATTCCGTAAATATAAATGTTTTTGTTAGAGCTGATTCCCAGATCGAGTTGACAAGTATTCAAACTTTACTCGTATTATATATAGGATAGAACAGAGATAGGCAAAAACTGGCAGAACTCTGAAATGGTGTTTTTTATCATAGGCGTACTCATATGGAAAATCTTTAAAATACAAATTCAATAATTATTAACTTATATATCATTAAACACAAACCAACATCCAAAACTATACACATTTTTAATACAACATAGATAATTTACACATTGACTCTTTACAATTAACATATGTTCTTCTTCTCACTTTTAATTTTTGCTTCGCAACGGGAAAAATCTGTTTCATAATCATTGAAATAAATTTATAGTAAATAATCTATCATAAAGTTTAAGATTAAATAAACCCAAGGCCCTACCACATAGTTGTTTTATTTTTTTTATCAGCTGTATGAAATTGTGAAATAGGCATTTGGAAATTCTGGTTGTTTACATTTTTCAAAGCAAATATAAACATTGTGAATTTTCTCATGCTTCCATGGTAACCAATTATTAATATTCAATTTCTAACAACAGCTGGAGTTTCAAAACAATGTTTGTTTCCCATGTTAATCTTATGGAGAAATACGAAACTTTAAAGGGCCCCAGGGCCTCACTCTCTAATTATTTACCTAAAAAGAAAGTTTCCTGCACAACTTCACGTTACGCTCTTTCCAATGACACCAAAAACATATCAATCGGTTCAGTAGTTTCGGAGGAGTAATTGTCACAAAAATCCTGCTTGCGTATTAAATAAGTATATCTAATATATAAAATTCTCGTGTCACAGTGTTTGTCTGCAAACTCCTCCGGAACGACTTCATTGATCGTTATGAAATTTGGTGTGTAAATTCTGTAGGTATGCGAATCGGACGTAAACCATTTCCCGTTTCGAAATTCTTAAAAGGGCTCCGCCCCAGTGGCTCTGGAGTTTCCCATGTTAACCTTATGAGAAATGGAATTAATGAATCTTAACAGCTGTTTCAATTAAACAAGTTGGTTCTGTTCTATGATGTTCAAAAGCATTAAAGTTACAAGGATTACCAACAGGGTGCAGCACTATTATTTCTTTTACATTTATGACAACAGCTAATTTGCAACCAAAAGGTGAGTGAGCGTAGCGAACGAACTCCAACCTGGAGGCGAGTGAGCGTAGCGAACGAGCTTACCTGGAGGCGAGTTAGCGTAGCGAACGAGCTCCAACCTAAAGGCAAGTGAGCGCAGCGAACGAGCTCCAACCCAAAGGTGAGTGAGCGTAGCGAACGAACTTCAACCAGGACGTGATTGAGCGATGCGAACGAGATCATCTTGAAAATTAAACGTAACGGTACTTTCTTTCCATCGGTCTGTCTTAGGGGAAACCTATAACTTAGGCGATACGAAGTTCGCCGGGTCAGCTAGTAGATATATAGATATAGATTTCGTAAGAATTTTTTGTTTGCCTTTCAATTCCATTACCTCTTGTTGAATTTTATCTTTAATGTTGTCACTATTTTATTAATTAAGCTAATTTTGAGTAATAAGAAAATAGGAAAATATATAACAAAGATAAATCCCAGTATTTGTTGTAAACATGAAATAAAACATAGTTTTTGTTGTAATTTTCCTGGTTTTCCTATAAACTTTTGTGTTCTGATAGCATTGTTTGAAACCAAAATCTCATAAAATCAAAAGACATAGTTTACAATGTAATATTGAATTTAACTTTGATTTAGTTGGACGTGTTTATCGTAATATAGCCATATTAGGGAAAATAATGTTTTGCAGCAAAGTCTCAGGAACACATTTATGATCACTGTTGTGTTTCATCTAAAAAAATATCTTTTAAATAGTCCGTGACTAACTAGTGCTGCTACCTAGTAACGCATTGAACAACCATCTGCAGCGCTCTCTGTTCGCAATCGGTGGCGTCAGCTTAAATAGGCCTACTGGTTTTTGACTTCTCAGTCTTCAAGCACAGATAGCCGAGAAGGCTAGGGCGTGTGTCACTTGGCCAGTGGCATTCGTCTGCTCAGGTTCGATTCCCGTCCTGTGTGGCAAATAATTGGTGACCGGTGTGTTTGTAGCGATATACTACAACCACTGGGGCATAGTGAGGTGTTCATAATGCTTGGTTTAGACATACACCTCGAAATCATCGGATTGGGCGAATCTTTTAGCTAAGTGGTTGTTAGTGTATCCTATGAACATGCAGGTCACCAATGGCCGTTTTTGTTGTAAGAAAGAGGTTGTAATTTTGAATGAATAAAATTGTTGTAAGAAAGACTTAGTATACCAAAAGTATGGCTTTTATTCATTCAAAATTACAACCATGTTTTAGTTAAGAACAAATACAATATTTACAAACAAATCAAATAATAAATATTATTAGGTGATAATGTTCACATCACCACAGTTTTGCTAATTTTTATTAAAATAACCTTCCTCTCTATATCCCTTAAAGATTTTTTAAAACAACGATATATCGTTTCATAGCACTGAAAAGGTTTAACAGAAATTTTATTTTTTATTAGAAGTTGTATAATATGTTTAAATCCACTACACCAGATAGATCAGATGTTGAGATATTTATCACAATACCTGTGGACTAAACATTTTGCTGCCAACTGGTGCAGGAATTTGGTTGTTAAAATTAAACTTGAGAGTTTATGTAAACTTTATAACTTATTTTGTAAAGTTGTTTTTTCACTGGAGCTCACAACACCAATTGTATTAAACAAATGTTTACAACAGATATATGCTTTTTTTCCACAAGAAATTGGTAAATATCATGGTGGAAGGAAAAAACATAGGTGTGCTATTCCCACATATTCTGACGTCACTCGGATTGCAAACAAAAGATCACCTGATTGTAACTGTCAAATTAGTATGTATTTGTTTTTAATTGATTGTTATTGTTTTTTATAATAATAAAAACAATAACAACCAAATCAAAACAAATACATATACTAATTTGACAGTTACAATCAGGTGATCTTTTGTTTGCAATCCGAGTGACGTCAGAATATGTGGGAATAGCACACCTATGTTTTTTCCTTCCACCATGGGTAAATATAATATGCCCTAGCGTAGTAAACACATGTTTACATAACTTGAATTGAGCTGTGTTTACATTGGAGTTTACATAAAAAAAAGAATAAATACGTACATCTTGTTGTAAACTACAGTGTAAACATGGTTTAAGACAAACATGGTTTAAGTGCCATTCATAATGCCAAATAGTTATTTGAAACCATTTTCTTTTATTTTAAAATTTCATTCATAAATCAATAGGGGCCTGCGGTACAGAAAATTTAAGGTCGGTACGGTACAATATTTTGTACCTCGGTTCTCGGTACAAAATCGGTATGGTACGCGGCTACCCGTATTTTTGCGGTTTTCTGCTCAGAACTGTATTCAAACCATTATTTTTAACTTTAATACATTGACATAACTATGAAAATGGATAGTATCCTACATTCATGGCTTTCTAAAAACAATTACTGTACCACACATTATTAACACGTCGACTGCGCGTGCCGACTTTAGTCGGCGTCGCCAGCGCTCCCAGGTGGCGCGCGCCGACTAAAGTCGGCACCAGACCAACAGAAATATATTGAGTCAGTGTGAGCTTAGCCTCAGACGGAGACGTTATAATCGTTGCCAGCCTGCCAGCTTAGAATGCGAGCTTTACTTTGGTGTAGGTTGGTACTAAAATTTCCCGTAAAATCCTGTCTGGCAATGCTTTTGTCCCGGTTTCGGGGATTTTTTCTTTTCAACCCACATTACAAAGACACTGGATACGGATCCATGCAGTGCTGCTACCTTTGGGTGTTTCAGTGAACTACATCCACTCTCGGGGTAACGCAGCACAGTCACCACTGCTCTTTTGTGATTCGTCAGACAGAAATATTTGAATGCCAATTGCGTTCGCTGATTCGGTTGCGCGCCGGGGCTTCGCCCGCCACTGGGGAGCGCCTGTAAAGTCGGCGCGCGCAGTCAACGTGTTAAAAAAAAACCTTTTACTACTACGAGGATTTTTTCGAGAAAAATCACAGTTAAGGTAAAGGCTTTAAACCTATTTTACTCTGAGATACTTTGAACAGCCATGATAAAAGTAGTTTTAAAAATAGGATAAGAGTTTTTTGGAATGAAACATTTATTGACAAGATAATTTCACACAACCGTTAAATTATTTCCAACCAACACAATGTCTAGTTTTTAAAAAAAAATTTAAAAACATATAAAAGCATCCAGTACGATGACAGTGTAGTTGCCAGCTGTTCACTGGAGGTTATGATGAAGTTATGGCAAAGAGCATCTTTATCAGCTTCAAAACTAGTTATAAGATGGATACAACTCTTGCAAAGTTTTTTTCTGAAACTAAAATTTGGATTATCACAGAGTAAGATTATTGTTTTTTCATTTACAAAGTTAACATTTTTCGGTGCACCTCAGACCCCTAATTAGCAATATTACATCAATATTGTACCCCTTGTACAAGGTCAAATAGGTTATTTTGGGTTATCCTGTTTGATTGGCTGTTCAGATGTCCAATTTTTATGGGAGGTTAAAATTGATTGGTATCCATGGCAACAAAAGAAAAAGCTACGATGTTTACATTTTCTTTGTGTACGTTTCTCACTTCCGATGAATTTTCCACTTCCAGACAGCTGAATTAAAATGAAAAAAAAAAATTTGTTAAAATTAGCATTTTTATTCATCTTCTGGACATACCATTGATTACAAGAAGGTTTTTCGTAACTTCAAAGAACTTATATTTTCAAGGGAAAGGTTAGTGATACGAACCACAACAAACATATCCTATGCTGACAATCATCGCCAGATGACTGAATTTCATGACCCAAATGCAGTAATAGCGAGGAAAGAGCAGAAATAGGTTAGGACATTTTAATTTGGCCGTGGAAGGAATTGTGTTTTTGGAATGTACCCAGACTTCTCAAAAATGACCACAAAGGAAAAAAGGATTTCACGGCCATTTGTACACTCCATAACCCATTTCTGCACTTCACCCTACTCTCATTGCATTAGGGCCATATCCTCCAGTCATCTGGCGATGAATATCGGCATTGGGTATGTTTCTTCTTCTTGTAATCAAAAAACATTTCACTGACCTTCTATAGTTGGATTCTATAGTTTCACTTGAGGCTCTATAAGTTTAACAAGCAGCAAATCTTAGCCTACACGTCAGCTACAGAGCTGCAAATTGCCATTCAGTTGACAAATGATGCCAATAAGTGGCGAGGATCCACGTTGGTGCTTTCAAACAAACTACAGATTTATTGGCAAAAACGGCCCTTACTTAAAAAATCGTCCTTGTAATAGGAGTATAATCAACCAACTGAGCTATAAATTAATTTGTGGAAAACATTTGTTTTAATCTAATGTACATTTAATTCAATTTATCCTCCATAGGCTTTGCCATTGGCCCTCAAGAAGGCGGCTGAGAATGATGTAGAGTTCCGACGAGGGCTGCCACGGGACTACCTCGGTCTGGAGCACCATGGTAGTGTCCGGGAGAAGCAGACGTTTGTATCTACGGCTCACTCACTGATGGAGAAGCTCAGTCACTACCTGCAGCTCAGTTTGGGTGCTGGGGTGGATCTGATGGGAGCTCAGTTTATGCACGACGCACTTCCTCCTGTATTTACTCCGGGTGAGGTTTAACAGTAGCCTACTATTGTTATTGGTTTGTTTGGAGTTTTGGTTGTTTTGGAGTGAATAGTCTTTCAATTCAGGAGTCTCACACTCTTAGTCAGGCTTAGTAGTAGTGTGAGGCCCTTTGCAAACCACCATATTGGGGCTCCTTACTACTAAAAAGTTTTCAGCCCCCCCAATCACCATATTAATTCTTATGCTCATGGGGGCATGATAAATAAAACTGCAACCGCCTCAACATCCGCCATCATCTCTCACGATTGTGGCGACAATCTGATTTTTCAATCGCAGCGACTCTCCAGGACAACATCTTGATCGTGTTCAGCGATTGCGATATTTAACTTCAAAAATAGGAATATATCGCAACAATGGAAAACTAGAAAGAACGGCAATTATTAGAGATTAAATCCTAAAAAGGGCCGGCTCTGCAGTCACACTACAGGCACGTCTCCTGTGCGCGTAAAAGTATATTTCATCCTCTCCTTTAAAAAAATATTATATATATATATATAAAAAAAATAACACAGGAATCAGAAATAATTCTCCTCTCCTAAGACACCATTAAAAAAATGTTATAAGTGGACCTATACTATAACGCAAGGTGGGTTCTGATCACCAGTGCATAAAAATGTCACATAGCCATTGGCCACAAAGCCATTGGTAATTAATTGGTGGGCTTTAATTGCCTTAGACCCCAGCTTCTGAGATAGAAATCTTGCCTTCTAAGCTTTAGACTAGCCATGCCACTTAAAATTTCATATATAATGCTTTGTATAGTGTAAGTTTGAATGAAAAATTGTTTTGTTTAGAGGAAAAACTAACTTCAAGTGTTGGCGGCGGACTGAAGATGAAAAACGGGAAGTTAAAAGGCAGAGTTGAATTTCAGATGGAAACCTGTGTGAAGTTGATAAGACACAACATTTGCAGGTAAGGGTCAATGTTAACTACCTTTTTGGCAAATTTCTGTTGTGATATGCCTACCAACATATAAAGTATGATTGAAATATAAAATGTCAATGAAACTCTAAAGAGAAGTAGATAAAGCAACAGGTATCCTGACAACTGTAAATTTGTATATATTAGAGTGTGTTATTTTTGTAAAACAAAATTCACATTTCTTTAGCTCAAGAAATAATTTTCACTCATATTACACAAGGGGAAGATCTGCTTTGGATAGGCCCTACACCAGACTAACAACAGTACAGCAAAGTTTTGCTAGTATATCAGTAAAAATAGTAAATTGTTTTGCAAGTGAAATACTTGACATTCCTTGTACTCGGCTAAAACAAAAGTTGATGGTTTGGCTTGCTGACCACCCTTTTTACAGTTTAGATGAATTTTTTGCAGAATACAATTGTAATGGTAAAATTGTTATCTAGTTCTTACTTAGTCCCTAGTCAACTGTTACCTAGTCTTTCAAACACTTGTTTAAGTAGGTAGCCTACCTCACTTTTGTTTCATATATATAGTTCTGTGTTTTTCAAATGATTTTAGCTTTATTTTCTTGTTGTCTTTGTTATATTTCAGTTTAGTGAAGATTCCATGTTATAGACCATGATAAAAAGTAGTTTCAAGTTGTGACATTTGTTGTTGTTTTTAAATGTTGTAGAATTGTGTATACAGAAAAGTTTGATCATATTTGTTACCCCTTAAATCTTAGTTTGTTTAGGGCTACCAAATTCTTTAAAAAGTTATATTATATTATCTATATTTATTATAATATTGTATGCTCTATATCATATAGAGCCAAAATTGACATGTTTCACATTCCTATTTTACTCGTGTTGGGAAAATAGACTGGTATTGAGGTTTTACTCAGAGGTTTTAAAGCTCTCCCAGTTATTTAAGCCTGACCAATAATTATTCAAAACTGTTTAAACTGTATAGGCAAATTTTGTGAGTCAGAGTGTACAAGTTTTTTTACCTACCTTATAATAACTTATTTAACTCGTGCAAAAACCAGTTGAATTCACCTGTCAGTCAGAAAAAAGATCTGGATGAATCAGTTTGTTGGCAGGGACGGAGAGAATCATTTGTTGGCAGGGACTGGGTGAATCGGTTTGTTGGCGGGGACTGGTTGAATCGGGTTATTTGCAAGGACTGGGTGAATTAGTTTGTTAGCAGGGACTGGGAGCATCGGTTATCCCAATGTCAAAAATTAAACCTATTCAAAGATGCGAAATTAAATTGCTATTATACACTACGGTATCTCCTCAGGAGGGCACCCGCTGGAAGTTGGAAGAAAATCATAAACATATAAATGGGTCGATTCGATATGCAAACAAATTGAATGTCTTTAATAGTAAAATATATAATGAATTTGCGGCATTGTATTCTACTAGTCACCTTTAATTTGATGTGCATATGAACCTATGCTTGCATTTAAAAATTTCCTCTGACTCCAAGTAGGCCGTTTCCCTGAAGAGGTAGTGTATCACTGAATCATGCGATAAAATTACTTGAATGCCCAGTAACTGTGTACCAAATTTTAAAGCGCTATCTTCATGAATTTTTTATATATTTATTATTTAACCATCCTGGGACTTTTTCCACTCTGATTATGTTGAGATGGTACAGGATGGTCGAGGAGGAGGGTGAGGTGAGACTATACCATTGTCTGTACAACTCACTGGAGTATCATGGAGAAGATCCTCAGTTCCTGCTGATGCCTGCTGAGGGTATCCCAGTCATCACACATCTCCAGGCCAAGTATCCTGGATACACCTCACTCCGGGACATACCCCATCAGGACCCAGAGGATCTGGTAAGCTAGACAAAACATCTTACCCACCTAAAATACACTCCTTGGCGGTGTGGCTGTTCCAAATGTAACGAAAATCAATTCATTAAAACATAAAAATATAGTATATTTTTTGAGAGTGAGAACATTTAGGCCTACCTAAGGCATGAGCATTTCTTCACACACTCATGCTGTCTTTTCCTGCTGCTTGAAACCCCGCTAGTGTAGTATGCCATACTTGAGTTTTTTTTTTATATAGTAAATGTGGCATCTTTTTCTGTCTAGTTAGTTGCAGTGCACCCACGTGATTTTTAATGAGATTTTGTTTTTCCTGGTAAACGCTTAATCCATAAGAAATCATTAATTGCAAAACTTTGAAAGAAAATTGTTCCAAATCTAGTCATTAGTCAATTGTGCATTCTCCAGTTATACCTTAAGTGGCAATCCAGCAAATGACCAACTGTTAACAAAACTGCTAGTTAGTATTTTGGATTTAAAATGTGTACCGTACAGTATTGTACCTTAACACTTTTAAAATTACACAAAATATATATTGAAAATTGCATCATTAATCCAAGAACCCTGAGATACTCAGCCAACCTTGTTTGTACGAGACGCTACAGTGGCAAGCTTGAAGATGGAACTAATTGGAACACTCAATTTTGTTTGTGTCGCAAAAGGATGATTAACACATTCTTTTTGGACCAGTGGACAGGGTAGGTACAACCAGGCTCCAAAGTCACTTTTAAGACCGTTCGTGATGGACTACTAGGCATAACAATAGCATAATATGATGATTTTATGTGAAACGGACATTCATTGGCAACCACCCAACTACATCCAGCTAAACAAGCCCACTTGGAGATAGATGTGAAATATTGTTTGTATGCTATAACTCCCTGAAAATCAATTTTCATCACTCCTCACCGAAAGTAACTATTTTCAATAACAGCTGACATCTATGAAAGTAGTTGTTTCCGAAGCTCTAATTTAGGGCGAGGGAAAATCGATCAGCTGATTTTCCCTCGCTCTAAATTTACTTTCCCTCGCTCTCAATTAGTTCTCCATTTATTCACTACGCACGCTAGTGTTTTGTTACGGTCTTATTTAATGATTTGAATCAGCTGTATGTATTGTTCAAAGTTGTTTTATTCTTTTATTTTGTGTTTGAAGTATTGAGAAATATACGAAGGTTTCCTTTAGAATATTTTATTTTATTTTTATATTTAAACAATTAAACGAAAATATACTTAAGTTTACTTTTAGAAGATTTTATTTTATTTTTATGTTTAAACAAATTGTTTGATAAATAATTATTGTAATATTACTGAGGTCTGCTTATACGTGTTTGTGTATTTTTGCGTTGTAATGAAAAGTATCGTTCATAACTCGTACCGAAAGTTATTACCCGTCACTTGCTCCATTATTCCCGTCCTCGGCTTTGCCTCGTACGTGAAAATAGCTCTCACGTACTCGGCTTCGCCTTGCACGTGAAATTGGAGTTCCCTGTGTTCGGCTTCACCTCACACAAAAACTTGAGCGTGCGCCGGAAAATGCCACTTTCGGTCCTAGTAATGAAATATACTATATCAATTGTAAATTATTTATGATGGGGACGCCACTATGTGCGTATTTTAACCCAAATATGAGTGGAGGATGAGTGTGAGTGGCCTTTCATCAAGTGATTTTTTAATCCATTCCTGCTTCCTTGATTTATTCCAAAGCCAATCGGGGTTACCTCCAAAAATAATTAACACAGTATCTTGAAGCTTAATGCCATTAATCTCCACATAGGACTATGACTTCATAATATTTTTATTCATATAATGAAATCTGAGAAGTATTTTATCTGAGAAGTTGTTTATTTTTCAGATCACACTGATATCTGACCTTTGGGATGCAGGTTTGCTGTCTGCAAAAAATCTTCCAGTCGTGGAAGAAAATTGATCATCGTTCTTAAAACGTTTCCTGTACGTTTGCATCAAAGGCAGTCTGAACGCACAAGTCCCAATTCTTTTAAACGCTGCTAAATGAAATCAGAAAGAGGAAACTAATGTAAGATGAAGTCAATTACTTAAACCTGTGGATGGATTTAGTTTTATTGCTTAATATTGATAAGAATAAGTAATGTATTTGATTTGACCAATTTGACCTTAATGTTTTTATATCTCATCACACATTTTTTTTACAATATTGACCAAACAATTATTTATGTAATTTTTCATACTTCAAGTACCTCTACTAAAGAGTATAGTTTATTCATTTCAGCTCAGATATTGTCCCCAACAAATGCTTGTAAATAATTTGTAATTTATAGTCTAAAAGGATGGTTTAAATTTTGTTTTGCAGCCTTTACTGACCAACTGTATTCATTCAAACAAATGGTTTTGTTGATGTTACTTTTGTATAGCCTAATATTATTTCATTTCTATTAATGTATAAAGTATATAGTGTTGGTATTTTACAAAAATTGTATTATTTTATTCCTTTTTTCTGTATCTATCCATCTACATTCCTAATGTCGGACACCACTAAAAATATTTGACAAATGCCTAAATGATCTGGGAGCAAGCTAAGAACTACTAGTTTTCGGTCGAACAAAGTTGTTTGTACAGTAAACGTTTTTGTCTGATCAACAGATCTGAGCATTGCCTCATTTAGTTCAATGTGCAACTGGAGTTTAGTTGTATGAGACAGAGCTTGTAGGACTTTTTGTGAATTTCAACTCTTGTCAGGCTAATTTTGACCTATTCTCACTGTAGGCCTAAATATATTGTGTAGGCATAAATAACTTAACAAATATTTAGGCATAGTTAGCTCAACAAATATTTATGCATAATCAACTCAACAAATATGTAGGCATTATCAGTTCAGCAAATATTCATGCATAAATAAATCAACAAATATTTTGGCATAATTAATTGGGAAGTATGAAGTCTATAGCCACAAAATTGAGGGAACTGCTGGGTATTAAAACTTATGATCAGGTGTTACTAAAGCTAATCTGGACTCTATCTACCAGGTAAGCTAGTTGATTCCCATCCCTGTACACCTAATCAGCCTATTGGCTTTTCCTTAATTTATTTTAAAAGGCCTACTTTAATACTTTTAATTGGAATGGCAACCATACGAAGGTAGGTATTTGAACTTTTAAGCCAATTATGAATAGAGATGAGTGTAGGATTAGTGGCACGATCTTGTAGTCTTGTTATTGACTAAAGTTGACATGTTCCTTAGACATGACTGTTAATTAATAGCCCATACAGCCAATGGCAACCAAGGGACCTACAGTTTATAGTGGAATCTGAACCACATTTTTGAAATTGTAATTTACAAATTGGTCTAATTATCAGAATAGTACTGAGGATAGTCGTAGTACTCATTAGTACTGACGTTAATCCACACCAGGGAGTTTCACATCCACAGATCATGCCTATAAATATCCACCATTCGTGACCTTTTCTAACTTATGATCATAAAGGACTCGAAACTCAAGCGTCTTTATTGTTTCAACATTTTAATAATTTCACTCTATAGCTAGCTAAATTTCTGTGAAAACCATTGAGGTAACCATAAATTAAAACAGGTTTCACATGGTTTTTTTAAATATTTCAGTAAAGAAAATTCAGGTATAATAATATTAAACTCTATAAGTATCAACGTTAATTTTTACTTGTTAGTAATCAGTTGCAAAACATAAATTCTATGATGTTAATACTGCTGTTTGTCAATTTTATTAGCAACAAGCTGAAACAAGAATTTTTCATCCCTTGAGATTTATCCCAAATATATTTGAAGTCAACGATTGACTTCAGTTTCCTCAAATGATATCCAATGTGGACGTAGCCAAACACTACCCATGTGAATGCAGGCTTCGTTTCACAGAGTCTTGCTTGGTTTGCTCCCGTTGTCTGCCTATCACATACTCCATGTAACTCAAATAGCCGTCTTTATCTTGGTCATCTTCTGCTAATACTTGGTCTATCAGTTCTGAAACATAGAGAAATTCTGTTATACTTTCTAATGAAATGGTGACCATATGAATGTAGGTTTTTTTAAGCCAAAAATTATTTTACAGTAGTTAATATGTTAAAATAAGTACCAAGCAGAATATTTGTCAGATTTTAAATTTTATCAAGTCTTGCCAGAATGGAGACAAAAATATACAAACCCATTTGTAAAAATATTCTTGCCATATTATATTCAATCAATATACATACAGTTTCTGAATGGACTAAACTCTAATATTGTGAGTTTGTGCCATTTATGGATCGTAAAGCTGTTATGTATTTAGTTTATTTTCACTAAGTTGACTAATAAGTACAGTCATGCACTTCACTACTGTATTGATTGATTAAATAAGTACCTGTATAAATTGTATAACTTTCTTAGCTGGGTTAAAGAGTTTTGAAATGTTTTTTTCGTCATACTGCAGCAAAAACAGTAGTTTTTTATACATGCATTGCGGGTCTAAAGTAGCATTTTTACTTCCTAGGAATTAGAAAGCCTAAAGCCTTTTAGCCCCTAGGGAGAACAAATCGGCTTGGTAAACAGTTGTAAATTTCGATTGTGGCAATCGCTTGGATCAAAATGATTTACCAATGAATTTATTAGGTAAGGTTTATGGCTGCTTTCTTGTCAATAGTTTGAAATATCGATGGTATAATGTACACAATCGTAATAGACAAAATGATTGAATCACTCACTAAACATCTGTTTATTTACATTGGAAAAATTTAACACAAGCTGAAGTCCTTTTTAGAGGTTATTTTTACATATTATTAGTATTTTTGTTTTCTAGCTGAATTTGTTATTTAATTAATTATGCAATATGACAAAAATATAGTTATCAAACGGGCAAAAAGTGTCTTTTCAACCTTCTACCTTATTTTCTGATCTTGGCTTCGCCTCAATTGTAAAACTTGAGCTTGAATTGAAAAGAGTCACTTTACGCCCTAGCCCTAGTGTATTATTATAGTTCTAAAAATGTATTACAAACCAGTGAAAAAGGGAAAATATTGACAGTATTTATAATCCACTCAGTAGGCCCCAGTAAGTTTTTCTATAATTAATTTTAACTTGAGTCTATGATAATTACCAATAAAGTATGGAAGCTCATCTTCAGTGGGAGGTTTGCCTTCTGAGGCATGTCCTCCACTCCCCTCCTCTCCTTCCTTCCCTTCCTCTTCCTCTACCTCCTTGTGTATTGTGTGGTGGATAGCTTGGAGAATCTCCAGTCCATCAAGTTTAGTGTTGTTGTCAAAGTCATGGAGTCTGAAAAAGTAGTTATGTTGGATTCACTTGATACTTTGATTTTAAACTACCTATACAGAGTTTCACATTTTTTAATTACCAAGTGTCTGAGAAAGAACATTCTGAATTACAATTTTATGGTAACTATTGATAGAAGTAATTTTCACGTTGAATAGATTGACCTATGCTAACAATAGGTTTACGAGTAATATCTACTTCACATGTAACAGCTTACTTGAAATAGTGAAAGTCCAATTCTTCAGGAGTTAGTTTGTGCAGTGCTTCTTTTGACATGCCCCAGTCACCTAAGTCTTCCTTGATGTGCCTGTTACAAATCATTTTATTTTTAGCAAGTAAAAAAATGAAATAAAATAATATTTTTTTTCCAACTGAAAAATATATACAATTTGTTGTATTTTACGTAATAAATTATACAATCCTTACACTTCAAAAATAAATCACAAACATTATATTACAGCTAGTTTTAATAGCACAAAGAAAAAAAAATCTCTACATAGGCAGGGGCCTGTGCGTGGACATGAATTATTGTGGACGTGGTATACAAACATCAGACAAGAGTAGTATTCTAGCCATCTAAATTTATTACTAACTGCATTACTGGTACCCACATTCTATAGGTCGGCCGCTTAGAAAACGACTTATAGTTCAGTTTTGAATTTAGAAAACAATGAAAATGGGGAGTTCATTGTCTCATACAAAACGTTTGCTTGGAGTTGGTTGGGGGTTCTTATTACTCTTCACCTCTCTCGTCTCAGAGCTTTGCTCAGTCTACTGTATCAAAAGAACTTACTCAACACCCCTGATGAGTTCAGCTCAGTCTAATGCATCATAAGAACTTACTCAATATCCCTGATGAGTTCAGAGTCTTGAGTCAGCTTTGTTTGAGCCTGGGGTTGATGATGATGGTGATGATGGTGCCCTCTAGGATGGTGAGGCCCTCTCATACCTCCTCCAGGAGCTCCCCAACACACCAACAGTGCCAGGACTACCAACATTCTGTACAGAATACAGTCACTACTTGGAAAAGAGTTACTAAAACATGTCTACTATGTTTATAAACAATGTGACACACGAAAACACTGAATTGTTTTTCTGTTAAAGCTTTATTTAAAGTCACACATTTTTTAATTAAAACTGTTTGAAAATTTTGGAAAGAAACTTCTCTTAACAAACTTTTGAGTTACAAAACCTCTCTCCTTGGTCATACTGAAGATAGCATCCCCTTAAGTCATGCTAATAAATGTTAATTCCTCTAAAAAAAGTATAAATTTAATTTTTCTAGCTTTTATAGTAAAATTGTTGACAATAAATGTATAAAAATTAAAATTAATTTCTACCCGTAGAAATAACTTACAGTACAACCCTAAATATACACTAACCACTAAACAAACAGCAAAGGGTGCTACTATTGAAACATCTCCATTACACGAAGATAAGAGTGGTTCCATTGTGAAAGTCTTATCAGGCTTATCACCATAATCCCTGACTGCCATGTGCCACAGACCACTGGGGGTTTATTGATAGATATCAATCGGACCGAAGCGTCCCCTAGCGGAACTGCCCTCATGAATAAAAAATCAACCGGAACTGGTCTCTTTTGAAGTGTCTCGTCGGGTGGTAGAAACTCCCCTGTCAGCATTCCTTCCCCGACTCCACTAACGGGAGATACAACACATGCACAACTCCATCCAGGGGGGAGTTGGAGGAAGAGGGTTAACATTTCTAAAACCTAAATCTATGTTTCTATCGTAATTCTGTACTAACAGGATGATTTTAAGTAAGCGGAAATTTGAAATAATGAGCAGTACTATCAATGGATCTGTAGAAAACGTTTTGAACAAATAAAAAAGTAAAATAAAAAAAAACAAATAAACAAAAAAAAAACTTGATGGACATGATAGTATGTATTTTATAACAAGAGTAGAAAGAGAGCCATTACATATCTGATGCCTATGTTTGAAGAGCGAGATTTATCGAGCACTTTAAATATGGTCGAGAATATGAATGTGAACACTTTCACTCGTGTTTTGAACGTTACTTATCGCTACACTACAAAGACTATAATTATTTTACTTTTAAAAACAGACATTGGACATTTCTTACGCTAGGAACATTAGGAAACTGAGCATTTGTTAGGTAATATGCCTTAATTTTCCAGTTAGTTGTTAAAAGTTGCTAAAGAGTTTAATTTTTCTA